TATGTTGGAGATCAACCATACGGATGTGCGTCTAATACTTCTGTAGACATGTGTAGTCATTATTCTGGCAGTTTAGTGCATCTTATTTAAAATGAAAATATCAGCCTAAGACCATCAGTGTGGCGCCACCTTCAGGTTAAAACGCTGCCCTGCATTGGTTTTGAGTTTGCCGCCGCTGATGGCTAACAGGTGCCGGGTGACGTCTGTCCTGTGGCTGCACCTCCAGCTGGCTCGGCCACTCACGAGTTTACGGTTCAGAGCAGCTCGCCTCCCTTTCTTCCACTGAGCGAGGTGGAGAGACAGACAGGAAGTGAGATCAGCGTTAAGGAAATTAATAATCAGTTTACCGTTGTACTTTTGGGGAATCGTCAACACGATTGAGTAGCCCCGGTTTCACACCGGACGCATCAGCGGCGCCAAACGGTTTACTCGCGACCGTCAAAGCGGCCCTTTTCACACCGGAAGAGTCTTGGCCGGCTTCCTCGCTGAGCTCTTCTCAGGACTCACAAGATCCCTCGAGACTTCAACGATCACGGTTTATGTATGCAATCCGCCATTAAACCAAAAAGAAGGAAATCACGTTTGATATCGCTGTGTCACACGTGAGCCACGTATACATGAATGCTTCACAGCAGTACTTTTATTTTGAAAATTACCAGGGGTTTTACACTAAAACCGTATGTTATTTCCTGTCTGTTTAAAATCACAGATTATGAAACTAGAAGATCTATATTTTTATAAAATAATGCAATTTATGTTTAGAGTAAAATTAACGGCTCTGCCAGAAAATATACTAATGTTTTTTGCAAAGAGGGAAAGTAAATATGATTTAAGAGGTGTATGTATGTTTGTTCTACAAAAAGCCAAAAAAGGCATGAAAAGTAGATGTTTCTCTGTAATGGGGGTAAAATTTTGGAATGAGGCTAAAATAGAATTAAAATTAGCAACTTCACTTTAGATTCTTAAAAACTTATCAGTAAAAATATTTTAGAAGAGTATTAGTTTGATGTTGATGGATGGATTTGTGTTTTATTTTTATTTGGGTTGTTGGTTCATTGCGGGAAATTTAAAAATTGTTTTGCAAGTAGGTTAGACAATTCTATAAGCTATTGCTTCTGCCTAAACCTGTTCAGTCATGAGATACCAAATAGACACCATTTACGAATGAAAGCATATGTTAGTGAAACCGGGGGGGTACTGGAACCAGCTCAGTGGCCTAGTGGTAGAGTGTCCGCCCTGAGACCGGGAGATCAGGGTTCGATTCCTGGTCGGGTCAGACCAAAGAAAATGGGACCCAATGCCTCCCTGCTTGACACTCAGCATTAAGGGGTTGGATTGGGGGGTTAAACCACCAGATGGTTCCCGAGCGCGGCTGTGTCTGCAGCTCACCGCTCCCCCAGGGGACGGGTCAAATGCGGAGAACAAATTTCGCACACACACACCTGTGTGTGTGACAACTAATGGACTTTAACTTTAACTTTACTGGAGAACGGCTGGGAGTCCGCGAGTCTGGATTAAATAGAGATGAATAATGTTATAAAAACTTTACAAACGATAAATCTTTAGATTTTCATCATCGTTTTGGTGTTTAGCGCCCCCCGTCAGCTAGAGGGTAATAACACTCGCGTTCCTGTAGGAGGGTGTTACCTTTCCAGGTGTGTCTTTGTGTCCAAGCAGTTCCCTTCAGAGAAACGCCGTCCTACACCAAGCGCCGTCGGGCCGGCGCCACCAGGGCAGCAGCAGGAAATGGCCTGTCGTCTCCCCGCTCCCTGATCCGGTCAGCCAGCGACAATGCCCTAGAGAGCCCCGCCTCCTCACCTGGCCCCTCCCTCCAGAGCCTGGAGACCCACCACGACACTCACACACACTCGCTGAGACGACACACACGGCGTCTCAGGTAGGCTTGAGGTCACCTGTGGGTTGGTGCCTCCTGGACAGAACTTTAGTTCAACCCGTTCTTCTTCCTGGTCTCTCCTGCAGTCCGAGTGGGGGGGGCCATGTGGAGACCAGCCCTCCCTCCTCACCCCCCCTCACCCCACAGATGAGGAAGAGGAGGCTATACAGCGCCGTACCGGGACGGACCTTCATCGCCACGCGGTCCCACGTTCCCCAGGGGTCCGGAGAGATCCAGCTGCACAGAGGGGAGAGGGTGAAGGGTGAGGGGGGGGGAGATTGAGGGAGGGGGGCTGGTCACGTGGTGGAGAGACTGACTGTTTGTGTCCTCAGTGCTGTCCATCGGTGAAGGAGGCTTCTGGGAGGGAACTGTTAAAGGCAGAACCGGCTGGTTCCCTGCTGACTGTGTCGAGGAGGTCCAGATGAGACAGTATGACCCACGACTGGGTAACCCCTCCCCCCCGACACCCCCTGCACCCCCACCCTCCAGATAAACAACACACCATGTTAAACGTGACACGTGTGTTTCAGAGACCAGAGAGGACCGAACCAAGAGACTGTTCAGACACTACACCGTCGGCTCGTATGACAACTACACCTCCTACAGGTGCCACACACACACACACACACACACATACATGTTTTTATGGGTTTGTGTGGACTAAGTTTTCTAAGTTGTTTGTGTGGACCCTGACTTCCACTATAGCCAGAATGGTGCAAAAATTATGTTTGCCTCTAGGTGGGAGTAGAGATTCAGAATGTCACCTAAAATATGGGAAAACTCAAACTAAAAGCTTGTATTTATTTACAGTCATTGTGTGGACATACTCCCGTTGCCGGGCAGATTTGCGCTTTTCCTCACATCAAAATTTCTATTCAAACCAAACTATCTCATGCCAAATTTATATAAATACACATACATACATATGCATACACACACATACAAACACATAGATATATTATTTGACAGTTTGATAGATAAAAAATAATTATTTATTAGATAGATATATAGATAAATATATAATTTATTTGACAGACAGTTAGATAAAAATGAATCAGACAGATAGATAGATAGATAGATAGATAGATAGATAGATAGATAGATAGATAGATAGATAGATAGATAGATAGATAGATAGATAGATAGATAGATAGATAGATAGATAGATAGATAGATAGATAGATAGATAGATAGATAGATTGATTGATTGATTGATTGATTGATTCTAGCAAGTCTAGCATCTACAGTGCTGGGATTTTTACATTTATCTATTACATTTTATTTGTCAAGTACATAATTTAAATCAGTCTTCCTGATTTTTACCTTTAGTTCATACATACATTTTAGACTAATGCATGCAGTTTCATTAAAAGGAAACAATTTCTTTGCAAAGCATTATTTTATTAATTAAACAGAAAAAAAAAGATTTTTTAAATCCTATAAATAACTGGACTTTTTAAATGGCAGCTTTCGTTATTTTAACTTCAATTGCTTTTGAAAAAGAAACTGGGGGGAAAAAGTGCCTTTAAGATGTAGTTTTTATCATTTTAGCCAGAGTGTGAGCATACATCTGTTTCAAATAAAATAATATATATATATAAAATTTTAGAAGCATGCCTAACATCAACACACCTAGGCCTCATTGTGTCACACCCACCTAACAACACTGAGGCATGTGAAACACAAACAATCATGTGAACATGAACAGTTTATAATTGTTTCCTCCTGTGCTGTGATAGAGTTGTAGACTTGGTTTTTAATATCTTACCAGGTTCTACTCTTGAGCTCAGACTCTGTCTTAAGTGCCTTAAGGCATGGTACTTTACCAGGAATGGTCTCTAAAGTTATGTACTTTCCAAGCTGTCGCCATACTGCTGCTTTCTCAGCTGAACTCCAAGGCCTTTTTTCACCCATTGCTTGGTGAGAAGAAGCTGATCCAGTTCTGCAACAGAAATCACAAGTAGGAAATATTTAAGGATGTTTGATGGTTAGGGATATTTATTATTACTTTTGAATTAGTTTTACTTATATGAAGCAACTGAAACTGTATTAATGCATTATATCCTAATACTCAAAATACATTTTGTTTTGTTTGCTAATAAATTTGGTAATACTAATACATGACTTGGATCTTATGATACAACATAGCATATTGCAACAAAATTAAAAGTGTCATACACCTATTTTAACTGCAATTTTTCTTGATTGTGTATATGTATATATATATATGCGCTGGAATTACCAGGGATTTTACACTGAAACTGTGTGTGATTTCCTGTCTAGCCCAATGGTAACTGCGGAAATTGGCGCATCCCAGAAGCGGCTCGTGGAAAAATTTGAACACGATCTTATCTTTAGCTCCTCGGCATGCCGCTCCTGGGCCGCGTCTGAAAATTGCCGCGACGCGGCTGGTTTGTGACACTCCATATACTATAATGGATTCTATTTCAAGTGGTGCCGCATCGCTGCGGTGCTGTGTCGCTGGCGTTCCACGGCGCTTTTGCTGCCAATGTGCAGTAGGCTTGAGAGTTCAGCATGGCATGTATATGCAAATTTTTAAACTAGCTAAAATTAAATGTGTATATGATTAAATACACAGAAATTTAAACCCAACACCCAACAGCACAAAGACAAATGAAGAAAAAATGTACCTATCTTATGTTTCTTCTTGATGTCCTCCGATGGTTCCGCATATTTTGAGCTCTGGCTCAGCAGTTCTACCTGATCTGAAAAATAAAGAACATGCAGAATATATTAGTAACCAAAGTGCATCAACTATATTTATGTACCAAATCACACTGCAGTGAGACTACGGGTTTCAGCAAGAAGGAAAGAAAAGCTGTAGAAGACACTAGTGAGAGCAGTCATGTTGACTGGTTAAGAAACGGCATCAACGAAGAAAAGACGGGAGGTAGAAGAGGTTGCAGAGCTCAAAATGTTGAGGTCATCTTTGGGAGTGATGAGGATGGAAAGGATCAGGAATGAGTGTCACATATGTAAAATCCGTCTGCAGTGAACCTTGTGCTGTCTCACCATCTGAATCTTCAGCTGGTTAAACCTTCTTCCTTGGCCCTTTTCCTCTGTAGGTCCCTTCAAAGAGAAGAAAAACAGTTGTAAAATCAAGTGTCACCTTCTGATCGTTAGGTACTTTAGCCAAGCAAAAGTTTACCTCTTTTTCCTGCTGTCTGTCTGTGATCATCTGATGGTTCTGGTCTTGTGGGCCTCTTAGTCAGAATGTCAGGTTCTACAAGACAAAACATTCATGAACACCAATCCAGTCTGACAGATGCCAAATAAAATACTCAAATGTTATCAAGTAAGAAAAAATAGTTTTTTACCTCACTAAATCGTACAATAATTTTGTAATGCCATGAAACTAAAATAATAAACTAATAGTCAATAGATAACTGAAAATCAACGAGAACTGTTACAGTTGGTCACTAAGCAAAAAATGTTTTCAATTCTACAAATTGTTTAGTTCCATTTTTCTGTTCTTATCATACACAGAGTAGCACAGTTTCTGTTTTTAGCTTATTTTGCTGACAGTTTCAGCTACTTCCCGAAGGTGACAGGAAGTACCCAAAACTGTCAGCAACATAAGGTAAAACAGAAACTTTGCTACTCTGTATGAGATAAGATCAGAAAAATGGAACTCGAAAAGAAACACAGAAAGAACATAAGAAAAATACAAATAATTTTTTTCTCTGTGGCACTATATTTCTGCCACATATACACAATTTGAAATAGTATCTCAAACTATTGACTATTCATTTGAAATGTGACTGAACACATGGTCATCATGTTATCTTGTACCATCTGAATCATCAGCCTGCTCAGAAGCATCCTCAGGTTGGACTTCGTAATCACTTAGACTGACTAGTGGTGCGTGTGTAGGTTCTTTTCCAGGCAAATCAACTGTTAAAATAAAAACAGAAGGTTCTAATTTTATGCTTTAATTTAGTTGAATTTCAAATAAGTCATCTAAAATATGCTCACTTTCTAAGCTCATATCAATCTCATCCAGAGATTTGCCCTTGTACATTTCTGTTCCCAGCTCCATTGCCATCAGGAGCTTGCTGACTTTGGCCAGCTGAAGTGTGTTTTCTGTTAGCCTGTAGTATTCACGATGTACACGAATATCGTGCCCCATGAACTTAGCCAGCTGATCCAATTCATTGTCTTTCAGGTTCATTATCTGAGTGGCCACATGCTTCCTCAGCTGAGTGGATGTGAGGGTCTTCGGTCTTCTTGCCCCACTTTTAGATGAAAACTTCCTTAAAGAGTCTAAACCTCGAATATGACAGTCTGATTTTTGTCTCGCAAAGACGTATTTATTGCTCTCCAAAATTTCATTTTCCTTACTCCTCTGGGCAATGAGAAAATCTATAGACTGTCATCTCACTTGTAAGTAGCACTGGCACTTTTTGACCCCTTTTACCTCGGACCACCAGCCTCGTTAACTTGTGACTCAGATCCTGTTCCAATTTTGAGAGTTACTTCATCATATCCTCATTTGGTTCTTCAGACAGTCTGTCTCTGTAGGTCAGCAGAGGTATTTTTGATGCCTCGTCCTGCCGCCGTCTGTTAAACAGAATGATCTGTGTGAGAAGACTTTCACTGAGTGTCTTGTAAGCCATGGGGTTTGGTCCTTCCAATAGTTTCTGCTTTGCTTCCTCCTCTGAAGCCTTCAGCACTTTATGAAGCTTCATCAGATCTTCTGTCAGTGGGATCATTTCTTTCTTGTTCCATTTTTCCTCTTCCAAGTTTGTTCTTGCACAGTGGCATACAAAGATGTTCCACTCTGAAGCCAAGTGTGATGAGAAGTTCTTTACTCTGGTTGTAGCTGATTCATCTTCAGCCTGTATGTGCCGTCCAATCAGAACCTCACGTGCTGCCTTCAGAGAATGTCCCAAATTAACTGCAAGTGATGGTGTTGCGTATCTGTACTTGTGTTTGGTAAAACCAGATGCTTTATTTGCTGCTGCCACAGCTAATGAAAATTTGGGTGGTACCAGGATGTCTTCAAGTCTGTTGATTTTGCAGTCCTAAGATTTAGCTGCCAAAACAAATCTCCCAACCACTCTTTCCTTCTGGCTGACATGGCCATCTCTGGATTTATCTCCTCCTTACTTCTCAAGGAGTCATTCTCCCAGTTCACAGATGAGTGGGTCATTTTTGACCTGAGCTGACACTTCATCAACCATCAACCTGCTGAGGATGTTGGAACATCTTCGTGAGCAGTGTCCTCTGGATGGCAGAAGAGCCACTGCAGCAGACTGAACTCTGCGCTTCTTTTGGGAATTGTCCGAATGTCCTGTAACTTTTTGACACTGCTTTGCGTGTCTTCACAGGTCGACTTTAGAACAGAATCCAAAACAAAGGTTGCGTGGTAATTAATTTTCTGCCTCTACTTGTTCTGTTGGCCTTCTGTAGGTCACTATCTCACCCTTTCCTTCCTGCAGCACTTTAACATTGTGGTAGTAATTCCCCTTCCTGCGCAGTAGCTCAAATATTTGCTGCTGTTTCTTTGAATTTTTTGGCAGACATGTTGCTTGGGCAACTTTTTCATTGCCATGTTTACGGATCAAATGTCGTGCCATTTTGCT